AAATTGTACTCTAACAAATTTGAAAACCTAGAGGAAATGGACAAATTTCTAGAAACTCACTACCTACCTAAACTAACACAAACAGAGGTAGAACAACTAAATAAACCCATGACAAAAGAAGAGATAGAAAAGGTAACTAAAAAACTCCCAGCAAAAAAAAAAGCCCTGGCCCGGATGGCTTCACTGGAGAATTCTACCAAACTTGCAGAGAAAAGTTAATACCACTACTACTAAAGCTATCTCAGTGCATAGAAAAGGATGGAATACTCTCAAACTCATTCTATAAAGCCGGCATAACCCTGATACCAAAACAAGGTAAAGACACCACAAAAAAAGGAAATTACGGACCAATATACCTCATGAACATCAACACAAAAATATTCAACAAAATTCTAGCCAATAGAATTCAGCAACATATCAAAAAAATAACTCACCATGATCAAGTGGGATTTATACCAGGTAGGCAGGAATGGTTCAACATTAGAAAAACAATCAATGTAACCCATTACATTAATAAAACAAAAGACGAGAACCACATGATCTTAACAATCAATCCAGAAAAAGCATTTGACAAAGTCAAATTCATGATAAAATTCATGATAAACACTCTCCACAAAATAGGAATAGAAAGGAAATTCCTCAACATAATTAAGGGAACTTATACAAAGCCAACAGTCAACATCATCCTAAATAGAGAGACTTTGAAAGCATTCCCCTTGTGAACAGGAACCACACAAGGATGCCCTTTATCACCAGTCTTATTCAACATTGTGCTGGAGGTCCTAGCCACAGCAATTAGGCTAGAAAAAGAAATAAAGAGCATCGAAATTGGTAGGGAAGAAATCAAAGTATCTCTGCTTGCAGATGATACGATCTTATACACAGAAAACTACCAAGAATCTACAAGAAAACTACTGAAACTAATGGAAGATTTCAGCAAAGTTTCAGGATACAAGATAAACATACAAAAATCAGCTGGATTCCTTTACACCAACAAAGAGAACTTCGAAGAGGAAATCACCAAATCAATACCATTTACAACAGCCCCCAAGAAGATAAAATACTTAGGAATAAATCTAACCAGAGACGTAAAATACCTATACGACGAAAACTACAAGACACTACTGCAAGAAACCAAAAGAGACCTGCATAAGTGGAAAAACATACCTTGCTCATGGATAGGAAAACCTAACATTGTGAAAATGTCAATTCTACCAAAGCAATCTACAGATACAATGCAATCCCGATCCAAATTCCAAAGGCATTTTTTGATGAGATGGAGAAAGAAATCACCAACTTCATATGGAAAGGGAAGAGGCCGCAAACAAGTAAAGCATTACTCAAGAAGAACAAAGTGGGAGACCTCACACTACCTGATTTTAGAACCTACCGTACCACCACAGTAGTCAAAACAGCCTGGTACTCGCACAACAATGGATACATAGACCAATGGAACAGAATTGAGAATCCAGACATAAATTTATCCACCTATCAGCAGCTGATATTTGACAAACGCCCGAAGTCCATTAAATGGGGAAAAGACAGTCCCTTTGACAAATGGTGCTGGCATAACTGGATATCCATCTGCAGAAAAATGAAACAAGACCCATACCTCACACCATGAGAAAAACTAACTCAAAATGGATCAAAGACCTAAGGATAAAATCTGAAATGATAAAGATCACGGAAGAACAAATAGGGACAACGCTAGGAGCCCTAATACATGGCATAAACACAACACGAACTATAAGTAACAATGCACATGCATCAGAAGAAGACTAGATAACTGTGAGCTCCTAAAAATCAAACACTTATGCTCATCAAAAGATTTCAGCAAAAGAGTAAAAAGACAACCTACGGACTGGGAAAAATATTTTAGCTACAACAAATCCAATCAGCGTCTAATCTCTAAAACCTACAAGATACTGCAAAACCTCAACAACAAGAAGACAAATAACCCAATTAAAAAACGTGCAAAGTACATGAACAGGCACTTCACCAAAGAAGATACTCAGGCAGCTAAGAGACACATAAAGAAATGTTCACAATCATCAGCCATTAGAGAAATGCAGATCAAAATTACAATGAGATACCATCTCACCGCAACAAGGATAGCAACAATCCAAAAAACACAAAGTAATAAACGCTGAAGAGGTTGTGGAGAGACTGAACACTTCCACACTGTTGGTGGGAATGTACAATGGTACAACCACTTTGGAAATCGATTTGGCGCTTCCTTAAAAAGCTAGAAATAGAAGTACCATACGATCCACCTATCCCACTCCTTGGAATATAACCTAGAGAAATAAGAGCCGTCACACGAATAGATATACACACACCCATGTTCGCTGCAGCACTGCTCACAATGGCAAAAAGATGGAAAAAAACCAAAGTACCTATCAAGAGATGAACGGATAAACAAATTATTGTAAATTCAGACAATGGAATACTATGCAATGATAGAGAACAACGATGAAGTCGTGAAACATAACATGGAGGAATCTAGACAGCATTATGCTGAGTGAATTTAGTCAGTCACAGAAGGACAAATATTGTATAAAACCACTATTATAAGAACTCAAGAAAAGGTTTAAATACAGAAGAAAACATTGTTTGATGGCTACCAGTGTGGGGAGGGAGGGTGAGGGCTATTCACTAACTAGATAGTAGACAAGGATTATCTTAGGTGAAGGGCAGGACAGCACGCACTACAGGGGCAGTCAGCACAACTGGACTAAAGCAAAGCTAAGACGTTTCCTGAATACAATCAAACACTTCAAGGGACAGAGTAGCAGGGGTGGGGGTCTGGGGACCATGCTTTCAGAGAACATTTAGGTCAACTGGCATAACAAAGTTTATGAAGAAAATATTCTGCATCCTAGTTTGGTGAGTGGCATCTGGGGTCTTAAAAGCTTGTAAGCAGCCATCTAGGATGCATCAATTGGTCCCAACCACCTGGAGTAAAGGAGAATGACGAATATCAAAGACACAAGGGAAGTATTAGTCCAAGAGACAGAAAGGGCCACATAAACTGGAGACTTCATCAGCCTGAGACCAGAAGAACTAGATGGTGCCCAGCTACCACCAATGACTGCCCTGTCAGGGAACACAACAGAGAGTCCCTGATGGAGCAGGAGAAAGGTGGGGTGCAGAACTCCAATTCTAAGTAAGAAGACCAGACTTAATGATCTGACTGAGACTGGAGGAACCTCGGAAAGCATGGCCCCCAGACCCTCTGTCAGTCCAGAACTAAAACGATTTATGAGGCCAACTCTTCAGACAAAGATTGGACTAGACTGTGGGACATAAAATGATACTTGTGGAGAGTGTGCTTCCAAGCTCAAGTAGATACATGAGACTAAACAGGCAGCTTCTGTCCAGAGGTGAGATGAGAAGGCAGAGAGGATTAGGAGCTGGTTGAATGGACATGGGAAATCAGGGGTGGAAAGGAGGAGTGTGCTGTCACAGTATAGGGAGAGCAATTAGGGTCACGTAACAACGTACATATAAATTTTTGTATGAGACTAACTTGAAATGTAAACTTTCACTTAAACGACAACAATAAACATAAAAACAATAAAGCTACAATAATGAAGTCACTGTGGTAGTGGCATAAAGATGGACATTTAGATCAACTGAACAGAATACAGGTAGTCCACAACTAACACCGTATTCGAGTTACAATGAACTGCACTTACAACACTCCTTTTTTTTTTTTTACATCTTATTATTAGTAATATGTATGTATTAAAATATATTTGTAAATTTATATGTAATGTATCCAACCCCCAAAGACAAATAAAGATTGCATTTATAAAGATACTGATAATAAAAGGTAATAATAATGAAAACTATGAAAAAAACAAGGTACTCAACTTACATGACAACTGACTTAATGATGGAGTTTTTGGAATGGAACCCTGTTGTAAGCAGGGGACTACCTGAAGAGTCCAAAAATAGACCCATACTTATATCATCAATAGATTTTCGACAAAGGTGCAAAGGTAATTCTATGGATAAACTCTTTTCAACAAATTACCTCAGCTATAATCAGGCAAATTCATATCTAAACCATAGTGAGACTTCATTATGTACTAGTAGCATGAAAAAAGAAAAAAACTAACAGTACTATGAATTAGTAAGAATGTGAAGTCCTGAGAACTCTCATTACTCCTGGAGGCAAGGAACAGAGGGAAATGCAGTAAACTGGTAAATCTAAAAAAACCATAATATTGAGTAGGGTACACAAGTCACAGAAGAGTACAAGTATGATTTCTTTTGTATAAAAATTTAAAAACAAGGAAAACAAAACAATTTGCTCGTTAGTGACACATATAACTGTAAAAACTACTAAGAAAAACAAAAGACTCATTTACCTCAAAAGTTAGGAGAGTGTCTATCTCTGGGGCAAGACAGGGAAAGAACACACAGAGGACTATAAAGATACTGGCAATGTTCTATTTCTTAATCTAGGTAGTGGTTATATGCATGCTTACTTCACTACTGTTCTTCAAATAGCGTGTATTTAAATTTGATAATTTAAATTTGTGAATCTTACATTATTCTGTATGTAAACTGCACAAAAGTTTGAAAAAAAGGATAGTCAACACACTATACATTAAATGTAATGAAACTTTACAAGAACTTTGGTACTTACCAAAGCTACGCATACATCGATTACAAAACCTTACTCTTTATAAAGCTTCAGACAACTCTTTTTTTAATAACCTGCCTCTCTATACTCATTAACAACCCTCATTTGTGTCAAGCTCACAGTGCCAATCCATCTAATGGCAGTGAGCACTAGCACTCTGAAATAGCACCAACCTAAACTGGAGATTTCATTTTCAACTCTCAAAAAAATCTTCTGCCAAATCCTGCAGATATCGGGTAACAAATTTTAAATATCAAACTAAAATAGCATTAAACAATAATAATTAAGGAGGTATGCTATTAAAAGCACTAAACGTTACTTATTACTTACCCGTACCACTCCTGTGTACAGCACCAGGTTTCCACCACATTCCAGGATCAGCATGGTATCTATTTTCTAAAGGACAAACAAATCATTTTCAAATCTGGGCAAAACTAATGATTTTTTCTATGGAAAAATCTGATGAAGCATAAAAATTTTTAACTTCTCAAGAAATGTAACTGCATTTACCTCCACTGGTGCTGCATCCTTTGCCTGTATGTTGGTGACAGAGCCAAAGATGAGCTGGGCTTTATCATTACTCTCTTGAAACTTCACGCAGCTAATATTAAAATAAATTACTGACACATGAAACAACCTGTAACGATCTCAAAGGCATTATGCTAAGTCTAAAGGGACAATCGCAAAAAGTTCCATAGCATATGATTCCATTTAAATAACATTCTTAAATGACAAAATTATAGAGAAGGAGAACAGATTAGTAGTTGCCAGGAGTTAAGGACATATGGAGGGGTGGTAAGATGTAAAGGCAGTAGCATGAGGGAGATCTTTGAGGTAATGGAAAAGTACAGTATATTCATTGTGGTGGTGTTTACACAAATGCACACATGTGAGAAGATCGCATAGAAACATACACACATAAATGAGTATGTATAAAACCGACAAAATATGAATAAGGTCTATGGACTGTACTGAAGTTTCCTGGTTTTGATAATGTACTACGGTACTGTAAGACGTTACCCCTTGGGAGAATAGAGTGCAGGGTATACAGCGTGCCTCCCTGTACTATTTTGCAACTTCCTGTATGAAATAAACCCTCATGCCCACTAGAATGACTACAATCAAAGAGACTGACAACATCCAATCTTGTTGAGGATAAAAAGAAACTGGAGCCCTCATACATTGCTGGCGGAAATATAAAGTGGTGCAGCCTATCTGGAACAGAGTTTGGCAGTTTCTTAAAAAGTTAAACATAAATTTACCATTTGAACCAAGTGTTCCACTCCTAGGAAAGAAAAATGAAATCATATATCGACACAAAGACTTTTGCTAAAATGTTCATAGCATCATCATTTACAATGGTCAAACAAACCAAATGTCCATCCACCTATGAATGGATAAACAAAATGTGGTATAGCTATACAATGGAATACTATACAGCTAGCAAAGAAGTACTCATACATGTTACAACATGATGGATCCTCAAAAACATTATGCTAAGTAAAAGAAACTAGATACAAAAAAACTACATACGGTATAAGACTATCTGTGTGTCCAGAAAAGACAAATATATATAAGTAGAACGCAGATGAGTGAATGCCTGAGGCTAGTAACGAGAACAGAGACTGACTGCAAATGTGCAAAAGGGATCTTTTTTAAGGTGATAGAAATGTTCTAAAACTAGATTGTGGTGATGGCTACACAATTCCGTAAATTCACTAAAATTCAGTGAATTGTACACTTAAAACAAGTCAATCTAATGGTATGTAAATTATTTCTCAATAAAGTTGCTTAGAAAAAACGTTAAAACAAGAAAGCTACCTACGGTTTTGACAAAGAATTAATGGAAAATACATGCACTTACCGTAACTGGAACTGGGACTCTACGAAAAAGCACAAGAACTTTTGCCCACATAGGTCACATGTAATGAACACTTTTGAGGCCTGTGAATGTTTCTCTCTGCAATAGTTAATAAAGTAACTGTCAGCACTGGCCCAAAAATTTACCGCAGTAACTATTAAAGTCTTTGAGAATATTCTGCAAGAAATCTAAAAACTACTTGGGCCATGCAATAACCTTGAAGATACAAAAACACTTCCTAGAACGGAACTTCTTACTCTCTAAGATTGCCTTCAGCTCTCTGATTCTGAGTCCCTCACATACCTTTATTTTTTAAAACCTACAATCAATTTTATCATTATCAATGGACTTTTTAACTCCCTACTATGCAAGTTATCTACTACTAAAGCAATGCAAACTTGAATTTCTACCCCTCAAAGGGTTTAAGGGGTCAGACTTTCTATAAAATGACCTCTCCTATCTATTCTCTCTTCCTCTCAAATTAGACCTCTTCCCACCCTTCATTTTTATATACCATACCTCTAATTCCTAAACCTTTATTTACAGAGTGGGGCAACAGACCATAATTCCATAAAATAAGGACTTTTTGAATTACCAATAAGGTATTTAAAGAAAAATGACTTTTCAATGTAGGAAATTTTTATTTTATATATAAAGAAAACAAAGGCCCTACTTCGCTGCATTAACATCTTTACCTTCCTCTGGCTACCTCTAGGCCACCCCCAGCCTCTAAAAACATACATTTGCCTTGTACTTCACAGAGAAAATGAGGGTGTAAGTGCTTGAGCTCAACGTCCTGTCCTATATATCTGACCTATATTTGCATGTGTCTGTCAGCGTGTAGTACTGTGAGGACCTGAGTGTTGCTGTGATGCTGGAAGCTATGCCACCAGTATTCACATACCAGCAAGGTCACCCGTGGTGGACAGGTTTCAGCTGAGCTTCCAGACTAAGACAGACTAGGAAGAAGAACCTGGCAGTCTACTTCTGAAAAGAATTAGCCACTGAAAACCTTACGAACAGCAGCGCAACACTGTCTGATACAGTGCCAGAAGATGAGCCCCTCAGGTTGGAAGGCACTCAAAATACAATTGAGGAAGAACTGCCTCCTCAAAGTACAATCAATCCTAATGACGTGGATGGAGTCAAGCTTTTGGGACCTTCATTTGCTGATGTGGCATGACTCAAAATGAGAAGAAACAGCTACAAACATCCATTAATAACTGGAATGTGGAATGTACAAAGTATGAATGAAGGAAAACTGGAAATCATCAAAAATGAAATGGAACACATAAGCATCAATATCCTAGGCATTACTGAGCTGAAATGGACTGGTATTGGCCATTCTGAATCGGACAATCTTATGATCTACTATGTCGAGAATGACAAATTGAAGAGAAATGGTATTACACTCATGGTCAAAAAGAATATTTCAGGATCTATCCTGAAGTACGAAGCTGTCAGTGACAGGATAATAACCACATGCTTACAAGGAAGACTAGTTAATGTCACTATTCTTCAAATTTACGCACCAATCACTAAGGCCAAAGATGAAGAAACTGAAGATTTTTATCAACTTCTGCTGTCTGAAATCGATCAAACATGCATCAAGATGCATTGATAATTTCTGGTAATTGGAATGCAAAAGTTAGAAACAAGAAGGATTAGTAGTTGGAAAATATTGCCTCGGTGATAGAAATAATGCCTGAGATCAAATGATAATCTCGGAAGACCAGCGACGTCTTCATTGCAAATACCTTTTATCAACAACATAAATGGCAACTATACATGTAGACCTCACCAGATGGAATACACAGGAATCAAATCGACTACATCTGTGGAAAAAGACAATGGAAAAGCTCAACATCATTAGTCAGAAAAAGGCCAGGGGCCGACTGTGGAACAGACCATCAACTGCTCATATGTAAATTCAAGTTGAAACTGAAGAAAATTAGAACAAGTCCACAAGAGCCAAAGTTTGACCTTGAGTATATCCCACCTGAATTTAGACACCACCTCAAGAATAGACCTGACACATCGAATACTGATCAAAGACCAGACAAGCTGTGGAATGACATCAAGTACATCATATATGAAGAAAGCAAGAGGTCATTAAAAAGACCAGAAAGAGGGAAAGGACCAAAATGGATGTCAGAAGAGACTCTGAAACTTGCTCTTAAACGTCAAGTAGCTAAACTGAGTGGAAGAAATGATGAAGTAAAAGATCTGAACAGAAGATTTCAAAGAGCAGCTCGAGAAGACAAAGTATTATAATGACATGTGCAAAGACCTGGAGTTAGAAAACCAAAAGGGAAGAACACGCTTTGCATTTCTCAAGCTACAAGTACTGAAGAAAAAATTTATGCCTTGAATTGCAATACTGAAGGACTACACAGGAAAAATATTAAACGACGCAGGAAGCATCAAAAGAAGATGGAAGGAATATACAGAGTCACTATATGAAAAAGAACTGGTCAATGTTCAATCATTTCAGGAGGCAGCATATGATCAAGAACCGATGGTAATGAAGGAAGAAGTCCAAGGTGTACTGAAGACACTGGCGAAAAACAAGGCTCCAGGAACTGACTGAATACTAACCAAAATGTTTCAATAAATGGATGCAGCGCTGAAGTGCTCATTCGTTTATGCCAAGAAATTTGGAAGACAGCTACCTGGCCAACCAACCAGACGAGATCCGTATTTATGCCTACACCAAAGAAAGGTGATCCAACTGAACATGGAAATTACCGAACGATATCATTAATATCACATGCATGTAAAACTTTGCTGAAGATGATTCAAAAGCAGTTGCAGCAGTACATCGACAGGGAACTGCCAGAAATTCCAGCTGGATTCAGAAGAGGATGTGGAACCAAGGATATCACTTCTGAAGGACTATACAGGATGTCAGATGGATCCTGGCTGAAAGCAGAGAATACCAGAAAGATGTTTACTTGTGTTTTGTTGACTACACAAAGGCATTCAACTATGTGGATCATAAGAAATTATGGATAACATTGCAAAGAATGAGAATTCCGGAAAACTTAATTGTGCTTATGAGGAACCTACATATAGATCAAGAGGTAGTCACTAGAACAGAACAAGGGGATACTGCGTGGTTTAAAGTCAGGAAAGATACGCGTCACGGTTGTATTCTTTTACCATACTTACTCATTCTATATGCTAAGCAAATAATCCAGGAAGCAGGACTATACGAAGAACTCAGCATCAGGATTACAGGAAGACTTATTAACAACCTGTGATACGCAGATAACATAACCTTGCTAGCTGAAAGTGAAGAGGACTTGAAACTCCGATGAAGATCAAAGACCACAGCCTTCAGTATGGATTACACCTCAACATAAAGAAAACAAAAACCCTCACAACTGGACCAATATACAACATAATGATAAATGGAAAAAAGATTGAAGTTGTCAAAGATTTCCTTTCACAAAATAGTGGCCCAAGAGACAGAAAGGGCCACATAAACCGGAGACTTCATCAGCTTGAGACCAGAACTAGATGGTGCCCAGCTACCACCAATGATTGCCCTGACAGGGAACAAAACAGAGTCCCAGATAGAGCAGGAGAAAGGTGGGGTGCAGAACTCAATTCTAGTAAAAAGACCAGACTTAATGGTCTGAGACTGGAGGAACCCCGAAAAGCATGGCCCCTGGATACTCTATTGGCCCAGAACTAAAACAATTTCCAAGGCCAACTCTTCAGACAGGGATTGGACTGGACCATGGGACATAAAGTGATACTTGTAAGGAGTGTGCCTCTTGGCTCAAGCAGATACAGGAGACTAAACGGGCAGCTTCTGTCCAGAGGTGAGATGAGAAGGCAGAGAGGGTTAGGAGCTGGTCGAATGGACATGGGGAATCAGGCGTGGAAAGGAGGAGTGTGCTGTCACAGTATGGGGAGAGCAATTAGAGTCACATAACAGTGTATGTATAAACTTTTGTATGGGAAAAAGTAAAAATGCTTAAAAAAGTTAAGGATTTTTTAAATGATGAGATTATCCTCAATTATCCAAGTACAATCACAAGTGTCTTTGTAAGAGAGAGGCAGAGAGATCTGACACACGTAGTAGAGGAGAAGACAATGAGACTACAAGGCAGAGATTGGAGGGATGCAGCCAAAGCCAAGGAATGCCAGCCACCAAAAGCTACAAAAGGCAAGGACTGGATTCTCCTACAGAGCCTCCAGAGGCATCACAGCCCTGCCACACCTTGATTTCAGCCCAGCAGACTCAGGCTTCAGACTCTGGAATTACAGCTTCCAGAACTGAGAGAATAAATTCCTGTTGTTTTAAGCCAATAAAAAAAAAAAAAGATTTCCTTTTACTCGGATCCACAATCAACACCCATGGAAGCATCAGTCAAGAAATCAGATGTACTCACTGGGCAGATCTGCTGCAAAAGACCTCTTTAAAGCGTTCAAAAGCAAAGATGTCACTTTAAGGACTAAGGAGCGCCTGATCCAAGCCATGGTGTTTTCAATCACCTCTTATGCAGGTAAAAGCTGGACAATGAATAAGGAAGACCAAAGAAGAATTGATGCCTTTGAATTATGGCATTGCTGAAGAATACTGAATATACCACGGACTGCCAGAAGAACGAACAAATCTGTCTTGGACGAAGTACAGCCAGAATGCTCCTTAGAAGCAAGGATGGTAAGACGTCGTCTCATGTACTTCGTACATGTTGTCAGGAGGGACCAAGCCCTGGAGAAGGACATCATGCTTGGTAGAGGGTCAGTGAAAAAGAGAAGACCCTCAACGAGACAGACTGACACAGCGGCTGCAATAATACGCAAACATAACAACTGTGAGGATGGTGCAGGACCGGGCAGTGTTTCATTCTGTTGTACACAGGGTTGCTATGAGTCGGAACCTACTTGACGGCACCTAACAACAACAACATATTTGCATATCAACCATCATCTTCTTTCCCCAAGGCTAATCTACTTGTGCTCCTTTCTGATTCCTTATTCCATCAGTCATTTTCTCTCCACTATAGTGGTTAAAAGCTTGGCTGCTAACCAAAAGCCTGGCAGTTCAAATCCACCAGCCGCTCCTTGGAAACTCTATGAGGCAGTTCTACTCTGTCCCACAGGGTCACTATGAGTTGGAACTGACTTGATGGCATCTAACAACAACAACATTTTCAATGTTTTCCCTGCTTTGGGTATATTTCTTGTAGCCTATTCTTTTATATTAGAAGTCTTGAAATATGAAAATGAACTGAATATTAGATATTAAGGACCTATTGTTAAGGCCTTGATCAGGTATAAAAATGATATTATGGTTAGAGATGCACACTGAAGTATTTAAGGGCAAAATATCATGAAGACTTACTATCTTTAACATAGCAAAACCAAAACTCTCTCAACCCTGAGACTCCCTCTAGCTAGTTTTGCATCTCTCACCCTCATTCAAAAGAAAACTGAAAATAGTTGATGTGCCTGTGTTCATTTCCCCACTCCCTGCTTACTTTTTCCATCCCACTTCACTCTCCCTAGCCTCAACTGCTCTCGCTGCGGTCACCAATGACCTCACTGCAAATCCAGTTCTCTCTTTTCTGCCCTGTCTCCTAGCGCCACACTTCTGCAGCAACTGGCAATAATGGCACCTCTCTCTTCTTGGAAGGCTCCCTTTTCTTGCGTTCCATGATATTCCTTGCTGCTTCTCCCACCTGTCCTCTCTTGCTTTGTCTCTCTGCAGCAGCTACTTGCTTCTTTCCATGCTCAAAATCTTAAGTTTCCAAGCCTTCAGTCCCTAGCCCTCTTCTGATTCCCTATCACTGAGTTTTAACTATTTGGGGGTCACAGGCCCATCTGAGAATCTAAAGAACATTAAAACCCTCTCATTAGGAAAAGGCCTATCACTACTCAACTACATACACACACACACAGAAATACTGAATACAATCCCAGAAGGTTAACAGAACTCCTGCAACTGCAAGGTCATCTATGAGCCCCCCACCCATCACCAGAGACCTCTATGAACCTAGCCCTATACATACTCCTTAAACTCTAATCTACCTCTCTTGCCTCAATCTCCATCTATAAGCTGACAACTCCCAAATATACATTTATTGCTCTGCTCTGTACCCTGAGCTTACAGTCTCCATAAAGAGCCTTCTTACAGCATTCCTGAAACAGAACAGGCCTAAAGGAATCTTCAGAGTATAATCTCTCTCTCTTAAACCTCCTCTTTCTCAGTCCTTTCCCTTCCCAAGGTGCAAGCCAAAGTGCAAGTAACTGTAATTCCCTGAATGGTACATACATTCAAACTTCTGAACTTTTGTTCTGCTAATACCATTGCCTACTCTGCCCTTCCCCACTTACCTGCCTGGCAAATACCAAAGCCCTATCAGCAGCATAAGCAGTACCTGCTTGAGCCACCACCCTTCAGATAGCTGTCTCTCTTTTGAGGGCAGGGACTGTGACTTATTTGCCTGTTAAATCCCAGCCACTAGCACAGACACTGGCATATGGCCTAATTAATGAATGAATTATTAAAGAGAACACAAAAGGAGAAAGGTCACATAGAGGGGAGGTTTGACCTGTGTTTTTCCAAAAAGCAGAGTTGACACTCAACTAGCATAAAGGTATAACTTACAAAAAATTCTATAAAATCTGAAGTTTCTTAGTATACAGAAATTAGTTCTGTTTCTCCTTAAACCAAACAGCAAATATTTCAAATCTGAGAGATCATTACTACTAAGTTACAGAACAAATATCAAATGGATAAAGGATATTTTTTAATCACTTTAATTAGTATCATTAATATCTTTTATTGAAACTGAAGTGGCCTTAAAATATATCTCCACGTATTAATAATTTATCATAACTAATCTTTAATAAGTGATCATTAAAAGAACACTGTAAGCAAAATATCAAGTATTTTCCAAGACTTTTAGCAACACTTTTCTTTGAATATAAAAATATACACTCCAAACCTTGTATTAGTAATTGTTTCTGTCCACAAATGGTCAATACAAAGTTCAGGAACAATTGGCTCTGTTTCTGGCGCAAAAAAGGAGTCATTAGAAGTACTATTTGGAGAATGCGAAATACTGTGTCTTTTCGGAGACTGATTATGACTTGAAAGGTTGAACCTCTGCACCCCTGAAAAAGAGTGCACTCCTAAGGCAGGAGAATGAGCACGACTGCAAAGTAAAACAGAAGATGAGAGTCCATCACAATCAGAAATGCATACTTATATAACATACTTCCCAATATTCTATGCATGGAGGCGCATTCTTGGCATAATTCCAGTTAGAAATACATTTTTTTAAAGTAGCTATTTAAATGGTTCATGTTAAAGTGCTTTACTATATTCTAAAAATGCAGAAATTCTTATTAGAAGAATTCATTCATTCAAAACTAAAAATTTAGTTCTTGTTTATTTTCTGTCTCACAGAAAGAAATTGTTTATATTATTCAAAAGGGTCTAAACTATGTTCCTGTATAGTCAGATATACATATATAGTGCACGTGTCTCTGTGTGTGTGTGCGCGCGCATACACTAAAAAGGAAAACTAATACAAATTGAGATGCAAAGGTAGTAAAAAAATATTTTTGGAATTAATATTCATCAAGCTGCTGCCATTAAGCTACAGAAACGAGGCAAACCATCTTAAGACAAGCATCGGCAACTTTTAAATATGATTCATCAAAGAGAAGTGGCATAGAAACTTGGAAGTCTTAGTAAAGAGGCACAAACGGGATGATGGCTACTTTCCCTAAAAAATACCCAAGAACTATCAACAGAAATTTTAAATCCTTCAAAACTGAAGAGAAACTCAGAAAATAAGGTATCTTATTTTTTACACTTCCACATTTAATTCCTACCTTAGAGCTGCCATGTTGGAAATAGAAGGTGAGCGAGAGTGTAGACTGGGTGATGAGGTTGAGCGGCTCTGACTGTGGATAGAAGAGTAATTCTGGAAAGGTGAAGTCACAGAAGAATCTCCTTTGGAGAGGCTTCTGAGGTGAGCTGTGAGGGAGCTGCTAGTGGCCACATTCTGCGGGGTTCCTCCCTGTTCAGAGAACTTCAAAACAACATTCTCTTCCTTAAGTCAAAATAAAGAGAAGGAGAAAAAGAAAACTCTAATTAGATTAAAAGGGTAATTTCCTTTATGACAATACAGGGTAGATGCCAGTTACTTAAGAAACAAAATTCTTTTTTCTTAAAAAGCTCAATCTATTTCACAAATAAGTCTTCCAAAAACATGTGAAGGTTTCAGTATTAACTACTCTTTCATATTCAGAAGTGACTTGCCTTTATTCTTACCTCTGGTTTGACTCTCCGGAGAGCCCACACAGAATGCAACCCTTGAACAGTGTCATACGTCATTACAATAGAGGGGTCAGTATTGAGGAAAACAATTTTCATCGCATGATCTACAACATATTGCACCCGTGATGAACCAAAAAGACCTAAAAAATACAACAGAAATAATCAGGTATAAAACAACAGACTTTACAAGACTGTTCTTTATGAACTGAGGTCTTGAATTCTTAAAGAGAAACCAATCCAATTGGATAGTAATGTTAGCTGGAATGGTTAAGGTTAGGTGTCAACTTAGCTGGGCATGATTCTCAGTGGTTTGGCAGTTATGTGATGATGTAATCTGGCAGTTATGTAATAATTTGGCAGTTATGTAATGATGTAGCCATCCTCCATTTTCACATATCACCAATTTTCACATAATGACCTGGTCTTTGGAATTTAACCATGTCGATAAGCAAGGAGTGGGTGTATTTTTTTCCCAAAATAGTATTAGCTCATCCAAGTATCATCCATTTATTAATTATTGAGGAACAGAGTCATCTATACTCATTGCCAACGAGTTGATTTCAACTCACAGCAACCCTATAGGACAGAGAAGAACTGTTCCATATGCTTTCCAAGCCTGTAATCTTTACGGAAGCAGAGTGCTACATCTTTCTCCTGTGGAGCGGCTGGTGGGTGCAAACCACCAACCTTCTGGTTATCTGAGCATTTAACCATTGTGCTACCAGGGTTCCTTGAGTCATCCACAGGTTAGTAAATGTATCAGCATTCATGGCTGATTTATAGGGAAGGCTCTATTTTTACTATACTTAAAGAAAAACTATTAAGCAGTTAATGCCATGGTATTCAAGAGGTTCTTGATTTAATATAAATTAACTTCAAAAGTTATTTTTATAAAATGCTTAAATATTATTTTCATAAAACAAGTGAAATTTTTGTAAGCTCATTTCTTATTTCATCCCCTCCCTCAAACAAATATTTAAAAAAAGCTTCGTAAAATTATAAAAATACACTTACTTCCAGATTTACAAACAAGTGGTGTTATTTCATCTAGTGGGTGCAGCATGCTGAACAGTGTGGGTAAAGGTTTTCTAGCAGTAAACAAACAATCAGTCAGTCAATGACCAACACAAGATGACTACATTTGTGCAAAGTTTGCATTTTCCTTGCAAAGAAGTATCTTCTCCAGATTACACAAGCAACTAGAAACCGATGACTTAAAAGCAAAACTTTAAACTTTTTACATACTGTCATTCATAGTATTTTCTACCTCATTCCTAGAAACTTCTCCTCTTCTTATACAGGTTAATTCTATACATACACACACGGAGGGAAATCAAGACAGCCCAGGAAATATCTGGAAACAGCAGTCATCACAATCCAGAACTAACAGAAAAATGGGCATAGGCAGTCTCTCTCTTTTTTCTTCTTAGTGATAGTGTGTCTATGGCAACTAAGAAAGAAATTTAGTTTCTTGCACGTGCTTAGAAAGGAAGGCACCTAAACATTTGTTTTCAAGTAAATGAAGAGTCTCCATTATTTTTTTAAAGAGTGATAGAAAAACAAAGAAAAGTTTTCTATCTGAACACAGAAAGAGATAGAAACCTATAAGCAATTTTTTAAAAACATATTGTCTACTTCTTGAATCACACAGTATGAGGTGCTATATGTATCTGCTCTTCAATGAGTTCAATTTACTAGAGAAAGAAGGCGAAGACACAAACCACCAATAAGAACCTACCATTTATTGTGCACCTAGTATGTACTAGGCCCTGTGCCAAAGCCTTACATACATTAGCTCATTTAATCTTCACGTAAACCCTAAGAGGTAACTGACAGTATTTCTGTAACAGATAAGGAAACTAAAGCTAAGAAAATTCAAATAATTTGCCCAAAGTAACACAATGAAAAAGCGGCAGAGCTAAGAAATGAATCCTGTTCTCTTTAATCCATTTGTTTGTTCAATTTTTCTACTTGAGGGGGAAAAAAAAGCTGTAGATAATTAAGTAGCAAATGAAAGAACTAGCTAATAAGTACACAATATTGAAATTAGAGAAAATGGTAAATATCTGTACTATCAGCATAAAAATTATCATCATCTTGAAATTTTAGTTAAACAATTTTACCTCAGGACCAACACAAAAAAGCCCAAGCAATAATATTCTGCACTAAGTAAAATGAATACCTGGGTGGAACTGCAGGCACTTCATGTGAAGAACTGCTTCGTTCAAACAACAGTCCATATTTGGTGGGCCAAACATTTGCAACCTATCAGGTAAAAGGATGGGAGGACAGGAGAGGTTGGAAACAAAGAAGTAAGAGAAACTACCCTTTACAAAATGTTTTTAGAAAACATACAAAATAATACTTTTTTTTCAATTTAATAAGACCTTCACAAAGTAACACCACCGTCACTAATATTAAAAAACAAGCAATTCTAAGGAGGAAGAGGAATTCAATCTCAAATTCCTGCCAGTGGCTAAAATCAGTACTGAAAATGACAACGTGATAAAGTCTTAACAATAGCATTAGGCATGAAAAAGCTGACAAGAAACAGGAAAAAGACTAGTATGCACATGTATCTTATTTTATATAAACAAAATACATTTCTTACATATAATGTAAACTGACAAAACCCTCTCAGAAAAGACCTCTTAATCTTTCCACTTAGCTCAATAAGCTAAAAATTAAGATAGGATCATCTTATGTGTTTTAACACGTTGTAATTCACTTTACTAGGTTCTTTGTTTTTTATGCAAAGAATAGAAAAATGGTAAATCACTAAAGCTGCAGAAATGTAGTTATTTTATTTGAGTAAAAATAGCATTCTTGATTATACTAACATAAACTAATTCATTCAAGAATGTTTTCTAACAAAACATAGAAACACCTAAGTTTACCTGAAACGGCAAGGAAGCTATGTAATCCTTTCCTTCTATGCTATGCATGTTAATGCATGAGCTTTGCAATATGCATATGCATTTTTCCACTTCATCACCACCTGAAAAAAACAAGTATAACAAGATTTATGAAAATTTTTCTAAAGAGTTCTATCCGAAAAGCACAATTCTTTAATGTACAATAGAAAAGTTAAGCTAAACCACTACGAATAAGTGGCCATTTTGAATGAAGAAAACAATGAGATACACATTTGGAATCATCGTAAGATAAAATAAAATTTCAAAAAGAAACTTACTGTAGGCCTTTTCAGACTTATCCTGTGATGTAATGAAGTCACACCACAATGCCTAAAAGCAAAACAAAATGCTTACCTGAGAAAATTATATCTAAATAATAACTACTAACTACCAGTACCAGTACCAGTTGCCATGAGTGACCCCATGTGTGTCAGAGTAGAACTGAGCTCCGTGTGAGTTTTCAATGGCTGATTTTTTGGAAATAGATCACCAGGCCTTTCTTCTGAGGCACCTCTGGGTAGACTCAAACCTTCAATCTTCAATCGGCTACCAGCTGAGCACATTAACAGTTTGCACCACCCAGGGACTCCACCAATGATATCAAAATAATAAAATGGCACCTACACACCTACATTAATAACTTTCCCTCCTCCTCAGCTTAACACATATACCATGGGAACCAAGAATAGGAATAAGTAAAATTAGACTACTCAATGATAAATATTACAAAGAAAGATCAACCATGTTTGCAACTGAATTTTACAAAAAGAGAAAGGAAGAAAAATTTTTAAAACTATAGACAGACACTTTACAGGAAAACCGAGTTCAAATACAGATAGTCCCTGACTTACAACAGGGCTCCGTTCGAACAATTCCAACGTAAGTCAGTTCTGATGTAAGTCGAATACCTCATTTTTTTAGTTTTCAACGTTATTGCCTTTTATTACCAGTATCTTTATAAATCCGATCTTTGTCTTTGGGGGTTAAAAACATTACATATAAACTTACAGATATATTTTAATACATAACTACACACATAAAAAATAGACAAATCATAAAAATTTACGCTGACAATGAAGAAGAGTTGGACGACGCTGTCATTTTGTCAGTTGTGGTAATAACTCCACTTGGGGAAAGTTCTGGATCATCTGGATTATCCCTGGGAATGGGGATGGCGTTTCTAGTCAGAAAACTAGTGAAAGCTGTCTGTATGGTCCTTTTATTTTTTCCTTCATATATTTCACGGTAACATCTCACTGCGTCCTCAATCTGCCTATTGACTTGAGCAAAATGATCAGCATTTGCGTCCGTGTTTTCAGGCAACTGAAGTTCCTCACTTAGTTTAGAAAAAACTCTAGCTAACCTGTTCACTGCAAATTTTTTTGACAACTTCTCTCCGTTCTCTTACTCACTACTTCTTTCTTCTTCAGTGCTTCTTTCCTCTTCAAAATCCATTAAGTCCTGATCTATCAATTCCCTTCTCAGTGATCTATGAACTGTTCCACATTGGCAATACCAAGTTCTAAATTCAGTGTTCTTGCAGTATGGATGACTTTTCCACCAATCTCTGCCATCATATTATCATCATCAACTGCTTGGAGCGTGTTCACATAACTCAGCAATTTTTTCCATATCCCCTGCATGCATTTTCCTGTAATTTCCTCTCAGGAAGATGCACTGTTCCAGATATACTGACAGTCATAAGGATGGTCTGTCATAACTCAAATACATTGTAAGCTGGGGACTATCTGTAGCAGTTCAACCTGTATTAAACCCTATATCCTATATAAAGCTAAAAATGTAGTTACTGTAAGCTATTCTGTAAACTTCACACTTAACAAAAGATCTTATCATTCTTAGTCCTTCCTTAGACTCACTTTAGAAATAATTATTTTAAAAAATTAACATCTCCTTTTCTTGAAGTTCCATCTTACTGGGAAAGCCATTAAACTTCATCTGGCATGCATGACAATCACTTATTGGAATTATATAATGGCATTTTAGCAAATAAAAATTTATAAAGAAAAGCAGGCATCAGAGCTGTACTCAACTCTGAAATGCCCCCAAATTAAACTTACATCCAAGCTCTTAAATCTATACTGTACCTCTTATAGCCTCAACTTCCTTTTATGAAACCCCAATTTACTAGTCTCTAAAAGTAGAAATTTTAAGTCTCCTTTATCTCTGATATCTAAGAGATTATTAACGCCTTTCATATCTCCTTCAGCTTTCACTCGTCTTCTCTCTCTCCAAGGCCCCAACTCTTTCACTCACAAAATAGTATGTCTTATCTCCCTGACAACATTCTCTTTACTTTCCAGTGATTCCGACATGTTACTGCTAGAGCAATCCCTTCTTAAAACACAAAACTGATGTTGTTACTTTCCATTTTAAAATCCTCAGTAGGCTCCCTTCTGCATACAGTTTAAAATTAAAATTTCTTGGTTTATACACAAGGTCTTTCACAATCTGGATCCATCCATCCCTTCCAGAACCCACCTGGATCTCCCTCCCCTTACCCACACCCTGTGTACAGCGATTCGAAACTTAGAAAAAGTCATGTTTTCCCACAATTCTTTTCAGTACAATTCCCTGTGCCTAGAATGCCCTTCTTCTACCAACTTCCAATTAAAAAAGCATATTCTATGAGAAATCCTTCCTTCAAAGTTCAGTTCACCTCTGGGCTTTCACCACACTGTGGTCCTGTTGCTATTACACGGCACTTAGAATACAGCACTTTAGTTTATCCGTTTATTTGTCCACCTTTCTAGACTATGAGTTCCTCAATGGCAGAAACTGTTTATTATTCATTTGTAGCCCCAACACTCAGCACAATATATACAACAGAGTGATACCCAAATGCTTGCAGAATGAACAAAAGAACAAAGAGATTAAAAACTAACTGACATATGCCTAGTTACATTCCTTAACCAACACCTAAAATAATCTTCCTCCATATTAGCAAACATACTAATATCTTTTTCCAGATCAAAAGGATTAAAATTCCAAATCTTACGATTCCACTTACAAGAGATTTTAAGATAAAGGAGAAAATACATCTAACTACAAATCCATGGAATCTAGAAAACTGCAAATCCATGGAATCTTAACTGAGGAAATTAAGAGGAAAATATAGAAGCAAAGAACTACCTAGATATCATCAAATCCACTTTTCACATCTGTACTAGCTATGTAGGTCATATGGGGGAAAAAATTTTATCATCAAAAAAATCATCAGTATCCAAACTCCCTGAGGGACTGAGTTGCTGGGTGGAGGGCTGTGGGGACCATGGTCTCGGGGAACATCTAGCTCAATTGGCATAACACAGTTTATTAAAAAAATGTTCTACATTCTACCTTGATGAGTAGCGTCTGGGGGTCTTAAAAGCCTGTGAGCAGCCATCTAAGATACTCCACTGGTCTCACTCCTTCGGGAGCAAGGGAGAATGAAGAGAACAGGATACGAGGAAAAGATTAGTCCAAACGACTAATGCACCACAGCTACCAAGGGCTCCACCAGACTAAGTCCAGTACAGTTAGATGGTGCCCACCTACCACCACTGACTGTTCTGATCGGGATCACAACAGAGGTTTCTGGACAGAGCTGGAGAAGGATGTAGAACAAACTTCTAACACACACAAAAAAGACCAGATTTACTGTCCTGAAAGACTGGAGAAACTCCGAGTATGGCCCCCAGACACCCTTCTGGCTCAGTGGTGAAGTCACTACCGAGGTTCACCGTTCAGCCAGGGATTGGACAGCCCCATAAAACAAAATGGGACTAATGAGGCACAGCAGCCCAGGGACAAGGACTAGAAAGCAGGAGACAGGAAAGCTGGTGATAGGGAACCCAATGTTAAGTAAGGACAGTGTTGATATGTAGTGGGGTTGTTCACCATTGTCATAAGGCAACATGTGTACTGTTTACTGAGAAACTATTTTGTTCTGTAAACCTTCATCTAAAGTGAGAAGAGCAGCACAACTGGAAGAATGTAATCCATGCCACTGAACTGTGCATGTAGAGATTTTTGAAATGGTGTATCTTTGACTATGTATATTTTCACCAAAAAAAAAGGTCGAGAAGGGACAGGGTTGACATGTTGTGGGGTTGTTAACCAATGTCATAAAACATATGTGTACTAATTGTTTAATGATAAACTATTTTGTTCTGTAAACCTTCACCTAAAGTACAATAAAAAAATGAAAAAAAAAAGAAAAAAAAAAAAGATCATTGGCTTTAACACTCCTAGACTGAAATGCTTCCACACGTGCCCTCAAATTTTGGCATAATAATTCAGTCTATCCTTTCCCACGATTAGTTAGAAAGAGTACAATGCTCATCAGGAAATAGTTAATGGGGAAAAAAATAGGCAGCGTTCAGGTATAATGAGGATCTTAACAGTAATCAAAGCCACCAAAACTTCTTGGCAACAGCCTAACACCAATTCAACGATTATAAATGTACTGGTTTTTTCCTCTCAACTTATTTTAAAATTTTTCAATGTGAAAAGCTGAGAGAATGAACATCTGTTTCACCCAGATTCGACAATTGTTAACATTCTGCCATATCTGTTTTATCTATGCATGCATGCATTTGTGTACATGCAGACTTTATTGGCTGAACTATTTGAAAATAAATCCACACATTATGACATTTCAAACCTAAATACTTCATCATCCATCTCCTAAAAATAAAGATGTATATAACCACAAAACCATCATCACCCCTAAGAAAATTAACAATTCCCTAATATCACCAATATCCAGTCCATTTTCAACTTTCCCAAACTATCTTTTTATAGCTGGTGTTCTAAAACCAGGATTCAATCAAAGTTCATTTAACAAGGTTCAAAAATTACTGCATTTACTTATATTCCTTTAGCCTCTTCAAATCTAGAAGTCTTCCATTTCTTTTTACTCTTTCTCTATGACTAACTTTTATAAGTGACCAGAATGTAGAATGTCCCACATTCAGGGTTTGTCTGTTTCCTGATGGTGCTTTCGGTTTTTTTTTTTTTCCCCTTAAATGTTTTATTATGGTTTCAAATATATACAAAGTAAACAGGATAATGAATTCCCATCAGTCAGCTTTGGAGCCCTTGTGATGCAGTGGTTAAAAGCTACAGCTGCTAACCAAAAGGTCGGCAGTTTGAATCCATCAGCCACTCCTCATAAACCCGACGGGGCAGTTCTACTCTGTCCTATGGGGTTGCTAAGAGTCAGAATTGACTCGATGGCAACGGGTTTGGTTTGCTTTGGTCCCACCTACTCTTACGGTATTTTTAAATGTGATCCTTTAGCTCCCATATTTTCTATACACTGGAACCAAAACCAGACCCGTCGCCATAGAATCGATTCTGACTCAGTGACCCTATAGGACAGGGTAAAACTGCCCCACAGGGTTTCCAATGAGCAGCTGGTAGATTCGAATTGCCAAACTTTTGGTTAGCAGCCGAGCTCTTAACCACCGCACTACCAGGGCTCCATATACTGGAAGTTAGGTCTAAATATTCACATTAAATATCTCCGGGAAAAAACTTAGTATATGATACACCATGTACTCCATGCTGCACTATATCCAGAGGCACATATCTATTGTTCTCACTATTAATGATGCTAAATTGATCATGTGGGTGAGGTGGACACTGACAGATACCTCTAACGTAGAGATACATTTGTTCCTTCATAATAAGCAAGGAATCCATGGGGTGATATCTTGATGCCATGGTAATCCTTTCACCCAAAACTGTTATTATTCATTTATAATTTCTACTTGAATCAATTATTGTATTGGAGATTCTAAAATAGTGATTTTTCTAATACTATCATGCTTCTACATTTATTAGGTACCATTTTCTATCATAAGGGTTTTCCCTCATCAACTGAAGATGAACTACATGTCTTCCTGAAAAGACAGGGCAAATGCTTAATTCTTTCCTTTAATTACTAATTTTCAGAATAAAGAGTTAAGTGTAATAGTCAACTGCAATGGTAGTTTTTTTCTTTCCTTTTCTGAGTATCACTAAAAACACATGATGTTTATTTATTCACTATTTTGCAATCAATTATAATCATCATGTTAAAATATTTTTGTACCCTTCATAGCTTGCAAATTTTTACTGACAATAACAAATCTAGTTACTCTAGGACAGACTGTTTAAAGATTATCATAAAATTGACAAAGGATAGCATTTTAAAAAAAAAAAGTAATAAGATATAAAATAAAATGAATTGTTTCTTTTCCTCCCTGGTCTTCGCTACCTGTTAAAATGTACACTCAGCTGCTGAGATCATTATTCTATGTTTTTATCATTTCTATTAAATTCTAATACAAAAGTTCTTGTTTTTTTTTTAAGTGTTAAACAGTTAATCAAATCCTAAAATTTAAATCAACTCACCTGTTGAACAGGACTGTCAACTGTAAATGCTTTATAAACAGCCAAGGCCTGGCTTTTACTTCCTTTGCTCCAGATTACCATATTTCCAGCCACATAGAGTTCCTCATCATAGTCCACTTCTTCTCCAATTTCACTTATGCCTTTCCTTAACTGCCAGCTTTCCTTAAAAATTAATACATGTACACTTTCTCAATAGTATGGAACAAGATTTATTAATTAAATCAAATAAGCATCCAGATTACAAGTCTCCTACCCTCCCTTTTCCTGTAAAATAAGACTCAATCCAAGCCAGACTCTTAGGTTTGATGTCACTGATAGCTGAACAGGGGGGTGTGTGTGTACGTGCACGTGCGTGTGTGCATGCATGCACACGCACACATATCTTACAGAATTTCATGAACAGGGATTTATTCAGTAATTCTCTATTTTAAACGTTTTATATTATAACCTTACATTACTCTAACAAAAATATAAACAAACTAAAATCATATCTTATCTACAGATTCAAAAATGAAATCTTTAATATGCTCGGGAGACTAAAAAGACATATTTAGCATACAGGAGGGTGATGAAGAGGCAGTGAGGTGCGTATGTGAATCGCCAGGGAGTTTATGCACGATGCAAATATCTCTGCTTCATAACAAACACACACCTTCCCTTGTCTAATTGGAAGAGAGTGAGTTTTATATACAGACTTTCCCTCCCTGAGATTTTGGTCTCCCAAAGGGACATATGAAAATGGAGTAAGGTGACAAGAGTTATGCTTTTCTGACACACTTCTATCCCATTTTCCTACTTAAGAACTACTGCTCCACCTACTTAAGTGATATTTCGTCTCTCCTCTAAAAGCATGTAGGTCTTTTGATCAGGGACCATTTCTAATCTCTCCCATCTAATCTCCAAATAACATGAAATCCAGTCAGTACAAACTAAGAGGAAGAGACTTTAAATGGAGCACAATCACAGTGATGAGCTTGATTCTCATCATAAAATCACAATGAGTTACATATGTCAAAATAAGCAGCCATGACACTGATACAATAAAGTCATTATTTTAGCCTTGATGGAAATGGCCAAATTTTAACCTCTACCCTAGAAACAGCATTATACTCATTTCTCCATTGCAATTTAAGGGGAGCCTTAAATTACAATTATATCACTCTACAAAAATATGATAGGAAACTTAATGGAACCTTCTGTTTCTCGTGGATTGTGACCTCCTGAAGGGATCCCACCAAGCCAGCAGCACCATCAGAGGACCATAACTCAGAGGCTGGCTGCAGCTGGCGAAGCTGAAGGTTCAAAGCATTAGGATGGTGCTTGCAGTGGTCTCGACCGAAAGGAACAAATTCCTGCAAATCCCTGGCTGCAATCATCGTTGCCCTTTCTTCATAGAAGTTCGACATGGGTTCCAAATATCAACATTATTTCTGCAGGAATTCAAACACATTCTGGTGAGCTTCTGGAGTCAAAACCAGACTAAAAATACCGTAAGTTTTTACAGTCATCAGTCCTTAGATGAGCAGCAAATAATGCTGTTATGTTGAAGGTATACAAATAATCATATCACAGGGTACTCCAGATCTGACTCTCACAGGTAGATGCAGTTATTGCCACATTTCAGTCACACACTAGCTGAAAAATAAATAGTTACCACTGTAGGAAACCAGCGCTTATGTCCCACAACAACTATCCCATGATGTTTCTATACTTTATATAGGAAGTACCAAGACAAGTTGTACTTTATAGTCCCATGACTGCATGGCTTCTCAACATTTAAGGTCATTTCTGTTCAGATGCTGGAATCTTATTCAAAAAGGACACCTAAAGGATCAATCGTATTTGGAATGAGATAAACAGAAACGCATGTTACTCCAATTCATCAGAGGTTGAACTACTACTTTCAGTTAACCAATCCACAAAAGATCTAATAAGCTATCAAAATGTCATCAGTAGTTCTGACACCCCAATTCCATCTAAATATATAACTACACTCAATTCCAATTACTGGTCCAAACCCTGGGACCAAGGCATACATAACCCTAGCCATGAAATAGACGGCTTATATCTGACTTACAGCAGATTTAAGAGTCCTAGCTTTTAATTAGCATAATCTATTACAGCAGTTTATTAGATTTATTAGTAGTAGATATGGATGAGCTGTGGGTCAAGACATGCCCCTCTACCTCCCAAATATTTCTACATAATCGACAGCTGGGAAAATTCTGACACTGTATAACGTGGTATGTAAGGTGGGTGTCAGTTCTGTCTCCAACAGGACTTCATTAAAAATGGATTTCATGGCATCACATTTAAGCTGCAATCCTCAAACACAGAAATCAAAACTTCCAATGTCAGCACTGCAGACAACTTTACAAAGTGTGTTTTAAACAGTGCTCACAAGTAAGAGGATTTAATTCGATTTTACTTAAAGATTTCTCATCTCAGGTCTTTCTGGCATCAGTCGTTTGTTTTCTGTGCTGCACAAACACCTCAGAGCCCATGCAGTTCCTGTGCAGTTCCTTAGAGTGGGGAAGTTATTTCACTGTGAATTTGTTTCTTCTCTACTGCTAGAAATCAGTACTGAGAACAAGTCGCTTCAACTTTGGACACAACTAAAATAATGCCTTATAAAACATATAAGAAAATAACAAAATTCAGCTGGTCTTCGTATATCCTGCCCAACAAGATAACCAATATAAAAGAACTTCCAACTTTATCCAGGTTTAATTGTGTAATTTTGTTATGTTATTCTCTTATGACTGCGTGGAAAACTCTAGAATTACTTTCCCAGTACACTACTTTCATTCTGAGATTAAAGCAACAAATTTAATACTTTTACAGTACCCCCCCGAACTTTTATAAATGTGTTTTTACTTAGTGGCAACATAAAAAGCTATACACAAAAGTACTATATTAAATTAATATGCCATAAATCGAAATTTTTCCTACATGAGATTAAAAGATCATCTGGAAGAAGGAGGAGAGGGCTGGCCTAAAAATGATTTTGTGACAAACTTCTCGCCCTAAAAATCTAACAGAATCTAATGCAAAACTGAACGGTGTATACACAAGGGACCTTGAGTTGAGTCTCAGCAAAAAGGCAAAGCTTTCTCGGCCTCTCTGGCAGGCAATGAAGGCCACGGGCTAAGAGCCTCGGCCTCAGAGAACCCACTCAGAGGGGTTGCGACTCATCTAGAAACCGGTTGGCGAAGAGCGGAGCGGGAAGCCGCACCGCAGAAAAGCACAGCCCGCAGGTCCGCTCAGGGACCATCCCCCGTTTCCCAGCCCACAGGGTCACCAGACACCGGCGGCATCGGGGCCAGGATGAAGGTCACCGGGCGTGCGGCAGATGGACCACTGGGCTCTGCAGACCCGGGCCCGCACCTGTGTGACTCGGGACGCGTCAGGCGCTGCGAGCCCGGGCTGCTCCCCAGAGGCGCGGGGGCCGAAGGGGCCCGAGGACAGCGGCGGGGTCGGTCACGGTGACTCCTCAGCCGGCGTAGCTTCTCATCCCTCTCTCTCCCCTACCCCGGAGGGAAAACGAGACTGCACAAGCGGGCGCGACAGCTAACAGCAGTCAGACGTGCCGGTCGGCAGCCCAGGAAGCTGTTCAAACGAACACAACCATCTTGACTTTCCCGTCTTCCCTCGCGCCGGGGCGGGGCGGGGCGGGGCCTCGCGGGAGACGCAAGGCGTCCCCGCGGTCCTGGCGCCTCGGAGTTGCCTGAAGAATACGAGGGTGTGAAGGTACAGCCGCACTTCCACCCGCCTTAGTAGCGGAGTGCTGAGTCCCGAAGCAGAAATATCTCCAAGAATCTACCTGTGATGGGACCCTCCTGACGCAGATCTTCTCTAGGTCACTTCACTACGAGCTTGAACTGCCAACTAACTCTGAGTTATGAGATTTTCTGGCTGCTTTTGCTTCTGCCTCCTTCTTTCCAAATGGAGGTATGTGCCTTCCAGGTTCTGGGGTCTTGCTCATTTTCTACGTCAGTGAATCTTAACCCTTTGGGGTCCAGACTCCTTCAAAAGTTGGTGAAAGGTATGGAGACCCTTACAAAAAACATGCAATTTCAGAGATTCACAGGCGATTCAGAGACTGAGGTTAAAGAACACCAGCTTTACCTCTCCCAACCTGTATGGGTTCAACTGTAAAATATGACATTTATGGGAACTGGAAACTTTCTTGAGCTCTAATCCCAATTAGGACCCAGGGTGGTACAAGCGATTTGCAGCTGGCTGCTAACCTAAGGTTGGTGGTTGGAACGCACCCAGCAGTGCCATAGAAGAAAGGCCTGGCGATCTTCTTCTGTAAAGATTACAGCCAAGAGAATCCTATGGAGCAGTTCTACTCTGTAATGCATAGAGTCGCCATGAGTCAGGCTGACCCTATAGCAGCTAACAAGAACAACAAACTCCCCATTGCCAGGTTAAAACTATTGACAGGCCTCTCAGTGCCTAGGAATAAACTTCAAATGCTTACCCAGAAACGTAAAGTTGGCTGAAACTTTATGCCTTCGCTAAAAGTGTCTAATGGGATTCCCCAAACACACCTTGCACTTCATGGCCTTGCTATCTTGGTTCATTGCCATCCCTTTACTTAGAATGTCATCCTTCAGGGTTTTTCTCAAGTGTCTCAGCAGGCTTCACTCCAACAAGAAGGAGCCTCTTCTTTCTCAGAACTTTCAGCACACGTGCCTTTCACCGTAGTCATTTACCTGAAATCAGAATACCTCCAGATTTTCCTGGCTCGAGGATACAAATAAGGTCAAGTTAACAATCATATCCCAAATGCCCTGCTCTTATCCTTTATGTATTTCCTCCCCACAGGGTCTCCACCTTCCTCCTCCACCAAGTCTTTCTGGGAAAACCTGCATCAGGACACATCTCAGAAGCCTGTTAGAGTCTCTTACTACCACCATCCTCCAGACCCTCAGCCTCTTGTCCACCTCAGCTACCACCATGGCCTGCCTGTTCCAAAGGGCACCCGTGGTTTCACCAGTCCTGTCAGCCCCACTACCAGTCACTCACCACAGAGGGCAAGGCCCTCTCCCTTGGCTGCTGCTGTGAAGCCAGGCCAATGAGTCGCACTCCCTAGGACTCAACTATGGCTTCTCCTGCCTCCCCCACAGGGAGTGGAAGCTGCCTTTTGAAGGGGCCAAAAGACATAACCCAAAGCATAGGAAGCAATTTGGGATCAAGGCACACTCCATCAATAGGAACAAGCAGGAAGGAGCCAGGTGTATAAATTCCCTTTTCTTCCTCCTTCCTGTGGACTATTAAGGCCTGGTTTGTCTGCACACCTGTAAGGACATGTCCTGTGTGGCTGAGTGGGCACACCTGCCAAGCAGTCTGCTGATGCTTTGGCATCATGTGAAGCAGCGGCCAGTGCATTACTTCTCGTGCTCCCCTGCCTTGTTTTCCCCTTTATTTCATTCCCTTCAGTCTTGAGATTGAACCACCCACATAAAGTATTAGCACTAATCATTCTTGCCTCTGGCTCTCTTTTCTAAGGAATTCAGGCAGCGGAGTCCACACAGAGTGTCCTACACTGCTAATTGTCCAGTCTGTGAAGTAGAGTCACTGAAAGGATTCACCCAGCTTTCCGTCTTGGGTGTTATCTTGCCTGCTCAAAAAACGTTTTCAAGAGGCCCCTCTGGGGCCTTACCTGATGATGTCCACTGTGAGGACACCAGGGTCTATACTGATAGCTCCCCTCCAGGACTTCCAAAGACCATCAGTCAGTCTTTGGGGCCAGAGCAGTGCAGTGTTCCCTGCAGAATGGCAGAACGGGCCCCACTGCCCCTTGCAGCACTCATAATCTGACGTGAGTCTGACAGCATTGTCACTAACAGCATTGCTTAGGCTCAAGATCTAACAGTTTCTTAAAAAAGCAAATCCTTCTGCCACTAACCCCTCTGCTCATGGGGTCCAAACCACAAGTCCAGGGGTTTCCTAGGCCAGACAACTCCTGTTATCTCCATCATCTAACCCCTCCTCTGCTGGCATTTGAGGCTTCTACTCAGCTCGGAAAGCAAAAACCTTGGTGCAGGCTCCTGCAGGCTACCAACTCACAGCCCTTCACCTGTGGCTTCCAAATAAGCATGAATTACCTTAAAAACCCATTGCCATTAAGTCAATTCCAACTCATAACGACCCTATAGCACAGAGTAGAACTGCCCCATAGGGTTTCTAAGGCTGCAATATTTTTTTTTTTTATTGTTGTACTTTAAGTGAAAGTTTACAATTCAAGTTAGTCTCTCATACAAAAATTTATACATACCTTGCTATGTGACCCTAATTGCTCTTCCTATACTGTGACAGCACACTCCTCCTTTCCACCCCTGATTTCCTGTGTCCATTCAACCAGCTCCTGACTCTCTCTGCCTTCTCTGCAATCTTTACAGAAGCAGATTGTCACATCTTTCTCCTGTGGAGCAGCTGGTGGGTTTGAACAGCCGAGTGCTTTAACCACTGCACTACCAGGGCTCCTCAAATTACCTTAAGCGTTCCTGAAATTGCATTTTGGATACAAAGGACCCAAAGTCAGGGGACAAAGGGAAGGGAAAAATAATACAGAGTTTGCTACCAGTTCATTTATATAGTAAGTGAGTTTACAGCCATATTTTATGATTATATTCAATTTTCCAATACATGATTCACAAAACTTGAAATTAACTGAAGCATACCAAAAAACCAATTGTCACAGGTATACCCAATATTGTAAAATAGACCTCTTTTGTTGGTGTAAACACCCCTGATAATTAGCAAAATTCCCCATATATAATTGGTATGCCAAAAAAAAAAAAAACCAAATAATAAATTCCCTATCTCTAACTTTTAATCAGTTTGTGACAAAATATAAAACTCTCTGTATTATTATCATCTGCTGCATAATAATAGTAGCACAAACCTTATGGCTGAAAACAACACATAATTTATTACGTCACCATTTCCGTGGGTCAGAAGTCCAAGCATGGCTTAGCTCAGTCTTCTGCTTAAGGTCTCAACAGGCTGTACACAATGAGTTGGCTGGGGCTGCTATCTCATCTGAGGCTCACTCAGAATTCAGTTCCTTATGGTTGTAAGACTGAGGGCCTCAATTTTTTGCTAGCTGTCAGCCAGGGGCCACCTCAGCTCCTAGAGGCCACCCACAGTTCCTTCCCATCTGGAGCTCCCCAGCATGGCTGTTTATTTCTGACAGTCTACCAGCAAGATGTAAATCACAATCTTACATAATCTAATCACAGGAGTGACATCCCATCCCCTTGGAGGGCTAGAAGCAAGTTACGCTTAAGGGAAGGAGATTACACAAGGAAGCAGGTATCACTGGGGACCGTCTCAGAAGCTGCCTCCTGTAGTCTCTAACATCTGTCTGGTAAGTAAGTTTAAGGCCTTAAACTACCATTTTAGCCAAGAGAGTGAAACGTGGGCTGTGTGGAGCCCTTTCAGCCCCGGGGCTGTGCCAGGCTCTTCCTCCCCTCTGAGCCCTTGCGGCTGTCTCTACTCAGACCTTCCACTCCAGGCCTGCACAAGACCCTATAGGTACCTCTTCGCCAGACCTGCACAGCACCCCATGGCTGACCTTATCTCACCCTCTAGAAGTTAACAATCTCATAATCTTGGAAACTACCCAAAGAACTTTTAATACAGCAAAATTTTGTGTTTTTTAACTACTGCGGAGGAGATACAGGCAAAACAGGCTGCATCTCAAGCCCCTGAAATCATATTTGATTTTTATAGGGTTGGAGAAAAAGGACCCAAAGTCAGGGAACAAAGAAGGGAAAAAAAAATACCGAGTTCACTACAAGTTTATTTGTATAGTAAGTGGGTTAACAACCATAGTTTATGAATATATTCAATTTTCCAATGCATGATTCACAAAACTTGAAGTCAACTGAAGCATACCAAAAAAACCGTTGTCACTGAGTCAATTCCAACTCATAGCAACCCCACGTGTGTAGCAGTACAACTGTGCTCCCTAGGGTTTTCAAAGGCTGGTTTTTTGAAGTAGATCACCAGGGCTTCAATCTGAGGCGCCTCAAACCTGAACTCAACCTGCAACCTTTCAGTTAGTAGCCAAGCGTGTTTGTACTCAAGGTCTCCCAACTTAAACATAGGGATTAGGATTTATTTCTGAAGTAGGGTAACCAACCATCCTGGTTTTCCTAAGTCTGAGGGGTTTTCCAGGATGCAGGACTTTCAGTTTTAAAACTAGACAGTCCCAGGCAGACTGAGACAATTGGTCACTATAATTTATTTGTTTTGTTTTTTTCCTTTTAGT